TCCTCCCTCATTCTATGAGTCTGTGTTTGACTCATTGTGTAGGAAAGCGGCATACATTCTTTAGTCAGGATAACTCATGACAGTGCGTGCATGTTAAGAAAAGTAATCTTGTTTCTGGCTGAGTATTAGCTGGAGGTAGGACAGACTGGAAGCTGGAGTTGATAAGGGTTATGGTAGGCCCCGTTCTAAGAAGGCCCCAAGACTCTTGCTCTGAATAGTGAATAGGCTGGGCTGTCACTCCCATAAATAGGTTGCTAATCAGTTGACTTGGAGTTAGAGAGGGATATGATCCTTGCTGGGTGTGACCTCATCAGGGGAGCTCTTACAGGGGGTCCTGGCCTCCCTGAATAGAGTGTGTTCTGCTTTAAGCTAGCTGCTGGTGGGCCTCAGGTGAGACCACAGCCCTGGCCACACCTTGACTCGAGGAACCGAGTCTTCTCTATGCTTTATATCCTCACTGGCATTTCAGGCAGGGGCTAGTTTGTGAATTTCAAGCTCTCGGTAAATGTCTGAAACACAGGTGTGTGGGCAAGTGCCTGGGGCAGAGAGAGAGCATTGCTTGCAAAGGCCCAGCAAGTCGTTCCCTTCCCCCTACCCTCCATCCCAACAACCCCAAAGCCTCCCAGCCGACTCCCAGGGGCTGCAGGCTTCTAGGCCAGAGACAGTCATGTGACAGCAAATAAGGCCCCCCCATGCTAGGCAAACCATTTTACCCCCCTAGGCCCGCATGGAGCTGGAGGGGATGATCGCCCAGGCTTCTTTCATTTCCTGGCTGTGTGAATGTGGTCCGGATGACTGATGGGCACATTTCCTGCTTTCTGCTCTATTGGACAGTGCCCCATTTCATAGCCACCCTCCCACAGTGGCCCTTTGACCCCCACCTTCAGTGAGAACATGGGATGTCTGCCTCCAGGGCCCGAGGTCACCAGGAAGCAGGGCTTGTGACCCCACACCCCTCTCCTCCCTCAGCTTCTTCGGCGATAATCCGTTTTCTCTGTCTCTGCTTTCCTTCGGCCAATTTCCTAACAGGGCTTTCCTTAGCTAATCCCCTGGCCTGGTGCCTCTTACTTTTGTTATTAAATGAGTATAAATGGCAAATTCCTTGAGCCTCCTTGGCCTTCCTTCTCAGAGACATTCTAATCCAAGTCCTCTCTTAGCCAAGTCAGAGCTGCAGCCCTTTGTACCAGGCTGTCCAGGGAGGCATAGCCCCAGGCTGGGCCCTGGCTTGGAGGAGGTGGGCGTTCGGGACCTCGGGAGGCCCGTCCCACGTGCTGGGAAGTTCCTGCGCCTTTGCACACCGTTTGGATCTTGAGCAAACCAGAGAGGCAAGATGGATGAATAGAAAAGTAGAGACCTCCTCCGAAATGCTGAGACATAATGTTCCTCTCACAGCTTTCCAGGAAAGGGCAAGTGCTCCTGGGAGCCAGGCACTTTCTAGGACAAAGATGCCTTAGCAAGAGCAAGCAGGAAGAAGAGGAGTGGCAGGGGAAGGTTTTCCCGGCTGCCTGCTCTGCTCTTTCAGCTTGTGGCTTGGCCGGGGCTAGGCAGGGGCCCAGGGGAGCACACTGCGCTGCAAACTAGAAATAGTTTGCAACAACTCCCCTGAGTTATGGAGGTTATTTGTGGAGACGAAGGCAAAGGAGAGAAGGGAGAAGAATTCAACTCACACCTAATTGCCTGTAGAGGGGCCTGAATCCCACTCTGCCAGGGTAGCTCTGGTTTCTGCTTTCAGATTTGCTCAACCCAGAGTCCTTGCAATGGAAGGGCTTTGGAAGAAGTCAGCCTCAGAGCTGAGATGAGACTCTGGCAAGCAAACCCTTGGGGGCCTGGCCTCTGCCCAAATCCCCCCCGCATGTGACTACACCGCCAGGGTTCCTTCCTAACCAGAAGAAGCTGGTGTCCTCGGGCGGCCTGCACCTGCCTAAAGGGCAGGGCAAGGGGCAGGAAAGCTCCACAGGGCAGCGTCATGGTTGTGTCCTCATGGTGGGACCACTAGCAAGTCACCCAGCCTCTCTGGCCAGCTTCTGTCTTCCCAAGTGAAACGGGCCATGCCACCTGCTCTGGCCATCACGGGAGGGCTGTTATGAGGATCAAATATGTGACCGTTCTTTGAATGTGGGGCTGAGATGCGGTTACTCACAGGTCCGCTCTCAGGAGCCAGTTCATGCTGCTGAACCGGATTAGTCACTTGCTGGCCTGAATGTAGCCATCTGTGAGCTGGGACTGCCTATCGGCAGCCTGTCACTTCCACGGAGACCCACTGCGCAGAACGCCTTCAGCCCTGGTGCTTTGGGCCACACAGTGGCTGAGGCAGGGGCACTCGTATTTCCCTTCTTTGCATAGTGTGTGCTGTATCCATGCCCGGGTCTGATGCGGCTGAAGGCTGAATGCCCCACTTCTCTAGGCTGAGAAATAACTATGGGGGTGGGCTGCAGCTGCATAGCTCCCTGATTTCGGATTCTGATACTGATTCTGTGCTGCCAGCTCTCTCCCCACTGGACTTTTTCAGGGATGAAGTCCTGCAGAATGTCTTTCCCACCTTTGATAAACTAATCTTAATCCTTCTCTACTAAAGTGTGGGCAGTGGCTCCGCACACCCTACAGACCTCCATCTTCAGGGGCAGCTACTGCGGCTCCTGGGAGGGTAGGAGCTGGGAGGGCTGGCAGGGGAGTGGGAAGCAGCGGAACCTTTGTCCGGGCTCCTCTCCTAAAGCATTGTCTTTCCACTGGGAGCTGGAGTTCTCCGCCTTTATTTTCCGGCAGCTGGGCCTCTGCAGGCTGCCCCTTGGCAATTCCCTCCCAGGAAGAACAGCCTTCTGGGCTGGAGGGTTGGCTGTCAGAGTTCTGAGAGGGGCTGGGGCCTCTCCTACTCTCTATTCTTCTTCCTTTGGGAACTCACAGTGCTAAAAACAAGCTTTCTGAGAACCATATTTTTCTGGGTTAAAGGTGAAAAATGCAGCATTTCCTCCAAGTGGAAATCTCTGGGCCTGCCAGCTCCAGCTCTGGGCACATTTCCGAGATCCTTCCTCCCACTCAGGGCGGAGGCAGCTCCCTGCAAGCGGGAACAGGGGAGGTGGGCAGTGGAGGGAAGGAGAGGGAAGTCGGAAGGAAAGCGCCAGTTACTGTGTGAGCAGGACAGTTAGTATGTGGAAAGCAGCGGCCTGTTTGTGTTGGAGCGGCCTGGAGCCCGGGACAGGACCGGGTCAGGAAATGAAAGGCAAACAAGCGGGCGGGAGAGCAGGGCAGCCCTTCCGAGTGGGGGTGGCGGTGGGGGACAGGAGGGGGCATCTCTGCAGGCTGCTGCCTCCAAGCTTCTGGGGCCGTGTGGGGACAAAGATGATCCCACCGATCTTCCTGAGAGAAACCTCGCAGATGGGCCATACAGGGTTGTGAAAGTCCATTTTAAAAGGAAAAGCAAGAACATTCTTGCCCCACCCCCAGTCACGCTTCCTTAGAATGGTGGGGAGTTCTTGGGAATTTTCTCTGATGCTGATTGTGGGACAAAGGCTTTTCAGGAACCCATGCCTCTCTATATCCTTCCTTCACAGATTGGGGATTGCATTAACCTCTGAGCTCCCCAGCTGCTCCCCGAAACTTTCTCTCCAGTGGAGAGCCCAACCAGCCTTCTCCAACATGCCTTTCCCCACAGCGGCTACCCAGAAGCCAGGCACAGATCCCATCTCCCTGCCCGTCCTTCCCCCGCAGAAGAACTCGCTGCCAAGTGTCAGGCAACAGGTGGAAGGATGGGGCTGGGGGAGGGTGAATGCTGCTCCCATGGGGCTGGGCCTGGCCTGTCACTGAGCACTGCACAGACCTTGGACCTCGTCCCCAGCCCCAAGGGTTCCTGCAGAGGCCCTATTGCCACTGTGTCCCTATTGTACCACTTCTTTCAATAATATCTGACTTGCTGTGGTGGATCGATGGCATGAATGGCCCTGATTTTTCACCCCTCCCTGTATCCCTGCCCTTTGCCAGGTGACTCAGTAGTCCTCTCCCTGGGGGGGTGGACTCCATTTCTTCATCTCTTGAATCTACAGACTAATAAGATGTGGCTGCAGGGCCACGGGACAGTTCCAAACCAAGGCCATCAATGCTCAGGCCTGCCCACTGGGCCCAGGAGGAAGATGAGAGACACATGGAGCGGACTCCAGCCCCTCGCCGTCCCAGCGAGGCTATCTTAAATTAGCAACCCCTACACGTGTGCACAAGTCCAAGCTGGGTCAGAAGAACCACCCAGGCAAGATTGGCAGAGATGCCAAGCTGACCACTCAAGGCATATAAGCAATAAACACTTATTGCTATAGGCCACTGAGGTTTTGTGGTTGTTTGTTATGCAGCATTATTGAGGCAATAGATAAGAGATATACTTAGAGAAAACAGGGACACTTGAAATATACTGTCTCCTACTCTGAACCTCCCATGTCATCGGATCCTCTTGGGTCTCTCTTCTCTGCTGCCCTCTCACCTGCAGGGTCCCTGCTGCCCTGAACCCCTTACTGTGTCACTCCTCTCCCCTTAGCCCTGCCAGCTTCCCATCCAGGTGCAGGTAGTTCTGAATCCTCTTCAGTTCTACACACTCTCCCAGGCCCTCATCCCTGGGTCACTGCATTTTTCTCTGGATAACACTTTCATGGGGCAACAGCTCATCTGCAAGCTGAAGCTCTTCTGGCTTCAACTCAGCGGAATACTTTGCTAAAATCGCAACGATTGTTTTGGCTGGAGACAATCCATTCAAGACGTGCTGTAAAGGCAACTCCATTATGTTTTGGGAAGCACTGACCCAGCATCATCACAGGAAAAGGTGTTGAGGTGAGTGTGTCTGGGAGGTGGTAGGACCCACTTTCTACCATGTGGCTTTTCTTCGGATTCCACTCACAGGTGATGTGAGTAGGAGAGGATGATGATGATATTGTTCTACTGTTACTATGATTCCTCTGGTAGGAAAGATTCTGGTCATCAAAGGTTCCCCAAGACAGGAAGCAGGAGATTGGGGCACATGGTGAACCTCTCTATTTATTCATCTTTTAGAATTCTTACTGTGCTTAAAACTGTGTTTTGCACAAACCTCCAAAGTCTTTGCTGAATGATGCTGCACAAACAAGAGCACAGTCATGACTGGGACTAATTATAGGCACTTGCATGAGGTATTAATAGATCGTATTTCCCTCCTCTCTGGGGGCAGCATTCATCTCACCTTTCCCTTAGTGAGTCCTGTCTTGGGGATCTGCCAGTGAACCAGCTGTCCCCAGGGTCACATGGGTGAATAGCAAAGGGGACATCTGATGGTACAGAAGGAAGAAATCCTGTTTCTCTGTTCTTGCCCAGCTCAGACCACGCTGAGGACATGTCCCTCCACCCCCTGCACAGCCTTAGAAACAGCGAGTGTATTAGTGTCCACGAGTATGGACGTGGCCTCTGCAAAGTCAGTAACACCTCCATAAATGAATGAATGAATGAGTTCTAGCCTTCTTCATCCCCTTTATTCAAGTCTACTACAAATATTGCCCCTCTCTTAAAACAAGAATGACAGTGACCTACCTCCATAACACATGTTCCTTTTAATCTGCTTATTTGGAAAGCTTCATATTCATCCCTTTGAACATCAACATTTACCGACAGAGAATGGTCAGCTCCCCAAGTCGCCCACTCAAGTTACCAATCCTGTTCCACTGATATCACAAAGGGCCCAAACAAGTCTCCTTTGGGAGAAAATTTTTAGGAAAGTGTGCAAGAATTCAGGGTCATCTACCCAAACTTCCAAAAGTATACTGTGTGGATAGGCTGCAGATATAAAAATATACACATACAAAAAGTACAGCTATAAAATTGTGGGGCTCATTTTCTTAAATTTGCATTATAAAACGTAAGGATTTCACATTCAAGGTAAACTTTGGGGAGGGGGCCACATTATAATTATGATTCTGTGTTTATCTCCCTCCATCTTTATTTTCATGGAATAGTCAGAGCACATCGAGCCAGCCAGTGAGGAGTGGGAGGGGTTAATCCGAGCAATCCATGGGCCAAGGTGGGAAATCTGAAGTTCAAGGTCACACAGTCATTCTGCTGTCATTAAAAGTGTCATGAGTCAGAGAAGGAGAGAAGTATTTTAATACTGCCCTGTGGGTTTCTTTCTCTTTCACCCTCTCTCTTTTTTTTAAATGTACTATGAATCACAACACAGTCATGGAGCTATAGCAGACAGGCTCTGGAATTTGCACTGATGTGTGATCTCTGGCAACCGCAACACATTCAATGGACAAAGTCCGCTGCTTCCTACACGGCATATTCTGCTGGGTTTGGCCCACGGAGTGTCAGCAGGAAAGGCCACCCAGGGACTCCTGTCTTGGTTCTCAGTCTCTCATCAGGGTGTACTTTCTCCTTGATGACAGGAAACACACCTGGTCCCCGGGCCTCTGTGTACGGCATCAGGCAGGGTCTCAGGGCCCCAGGGATTCTCAGGATAGAAGGCTCTGTCCCTTGGGCAAGGCCAGTTGGTGTTACTTGGCTCCACAAGTGTTGATGTTTTTCCCATCCACGGCATCTTCCACGAGGGAAATGTGGTAATCGGTGGACAGGGTGAAATGAGAGATGCAGCCCACGAGGCCTCTCATGTATTGCCTGTTAGTGTGCAGAGCAATTTCCTTCATTCCACCTGCCAGAAAGCAAGAGGGAGGTGTCAGCAGGGGAAAGTCGGGGTTCCTCTTTGGGGTACTTGAGTGTCCACTGAGCAAAGGGTCCCTTGATTGACAAGATGAGGGCTGTGGGTCCCTTGAACTGTTCAGCATCTCTGCCTATTTTATAATTATCCTTGGAGGAACAGGTTGACTTGGATCAATCTGGTATACAACCAAAGGCTATAAATACATATCTCATGTGTGATTTCTGACCCAGCAGACTACCTTGAGACCAAATAGTATCTAGTAAATCCTGAAATGTTATATAATGTCGACAAAATGTAGTGTGTAGTTAGAGGTGGTATCATCTTAAACCAAAAGACATACGCTGATGTTGAATGCTTTCAATTAAGTTCACTTTTAGAAAATGACATATAAATAGAGATAGCTTTTCATTTTTATGTGTCTACGTTAGTGTATTATAAGCCATTTGCAGAAATACTACTCGTTCTATTTTGAGAGGGACCAGAAAGACAGTTTCTCCTTCCTCAGAGAGCATTCATGGAGCTATATTTAGCAGGTTCCTGTTCTATAAACAAGAAAAGCATGGTTTCCCTGGTGGATCGGTCCAAGGCACAAAAGCATCTGAGTGAGTCCCTTCCTGTCCCCTCAGCTATGAGTCAGAAGTTCAGAAAATGGAAGAATGGAGTATCTGGAGAGCTTCCTGATTTGACTGGTCCAGCGAAGTGCCCAGGGAGGACTCCCCAGACAAGCACTGGCCTAATTTAGATTTGGCCAAGGTCACTTACCTACATACAGGGCCCCACTGAGGTTCAGCTGCCTCATCATGCCTGGCGATTTGCCGGTTCTGGCCCCGTAGTCATCCACAGTTATCTTTCCTGATTGGCCATCCCTGTGAACAACAAAAAAATCCCCCAAACTCCACCATTTTGGGAGCTCATTCAAATATTCATCCATCTCAATAAAAATTTGTTAAAGTACCCACTATGTGCTGGGTACTGTGCTAAATGATGGGGCTGCAAAAACCAAAATCCAAACCAAAAAATACTCCCAAGTTCCTGGCCCTCAGGAGTTTGTGGTCTACTGAGGAAGACAAAAAAACCAAGCTGGGAATGATAGCACAGAGCCACCACTCCACGGTAGAAGGCAAGGGTGCTGAGGGGTCACACAGGAGGAGTCCCTAACCTAGACCAGGGATGGGGTGGTTATTACAGGGCGGCGTAGGAAAAGCTTCTCAGAGGAGATTCTGCCTGCAATGAGCTTTGAAGGCCGGGCAAAGTGGGCGAAGGAGAAGGCTAACTCAAGCAGAGGCAGAAGCCATGGCAAAGAGAAGACAGCTTAGAAAACTGCAAACCCGTGCCACAGATGCTACTGCAGGGCTCATAACAGTAGAGGAGTGAACAAGGAGGTCAGCTCAGAGGGATCACAGAGGACAAAGGGGATGGACAATGAAGCCAGAAGCAGACGGTGAGGGCTCATGAGGAGATTAGGATTTATCCCAAGAGTGAGAGGGAGCCAGGGAGGAACTTTCAGGTGAAGCCAAGGGGAGGAGTAAGGTGGGGGTTGGGGAGGTGCATGTGGGGAGCTGTGAGGGGCTTGGATATTATTCTAAGCACAGGGGAAAACAATGAAGCAGTTTTTGGAGGTAGAGGATTATTCTAGCAGAGGAAGAAGAATGGCTTAGAAGTTTCTAAAGGATCCGCAGAGCCCCAAAGTGATTCTGAACACAGGAGAGGGGAAGTGTTCATCTGGGGCAAGGGCTTTGCAGTTTTCTAAGCTGGTTTCCAAATCTATCCAGTCCCATGAACCTGATTTAAGCAAATACATCTGCTTCTATAGCATGGGGAGTTGGGGGGAGGTACGGCAGCCCAGGCCTCACTGCTTGACAGCAACTCCTCCCATACCGAGCTTCAGCAAAGGTTCTCCTGTTCTGTCCTCGCCCTTGAGACCATACACTCCCACTCCCCATTTTGGAAATGCTTTCTTAGAATTTCACCCCTGAGTGTCAGGCAATGCCCCCAACAGCTTGCCTTGCTTGCCCCGCCTTTTTTTAAAAAAAAATAATTGCTCTAAAACATTCCATTTTTTCCACATACTGTACATAAATTCTATGAATTTTTCACTTTTTATATTTTTGAAGTGAAGTTATGCTTTATAATCAATGGCATCTTAGACTTAAAAAATATGTGGTATCGCCTCTAACATATAAAGTACTTCTTTATCATATTTATTACTTATTGTCTGTTGCTTCCCATTAGAATACAAGACCATCAGGCAAGGATCTTAGTTTTATTTAATGATGGATCTCATGTGTCTGGAATAATATAGGGCTCACAATGTAGATGAATGAACAAGTGAATTTGTGGAGCTTCAGCATCTTCATCTGAAATGGGAATAACCATGCCCATCTTCCAAGACTATTGTGGCGATCAGACATTATGCATGCAAAAGCACAGAGCATGACACCTGATACATAAAGACTGGTAGGGGAGTGTGTTGTTATTATTATCAATATCATCATCATGTCATCATTTTATCCATTAAATGAAGATTATAAAATCTAGGTTGCTGTGAATATTAACTGAGATAAAGTATGTAAAGTGCCTGGCACCTGGAGATGTTCAAGGAATTAGAATTTGTTTTCTCTTTTCTGCTGGGATCAATGCCTACAAGACCAGTATTACCCAGAGCAAGACAGTGTACAAAGCAAGGCTCCCCTTGATCATGTCCCCTTCATGGATCCCCTGTCTTTAATCCCAGAGCCTGCTACATAGGATTAAGGTATCCATCCAATCCTTCTTGCCATAGTTGACATCTATGGCCTTGAGCCAGTTCCCACTGAGATCTGTTGTACCATTCTGCTCACAACACAATGTCTGCTGGAATACTCCCACCTATCCAGTTCCAGGGATCCACTGCTACTGTTTAGCCCTCACTGCAACCCACTAGGAGAGACCCACTAGGAGAGACATCAATGATGCCAATAGGAAAAGCCAAGTGTGTTGAGCCAACTGCATGATGCCAAGCTCAATGCTCTGACATCTGACGTTTTTCTGGTGTAAGATTCCACTGTCTTATCCCTCCCAAACATCTGAAATCCTAGCTGTGGGTCGGTTGCATCATGGGATGGGATGGAAAGGGCTTTGATCCTGGATTCTAATCTTGGCTCTACCCACAAACAGTTGTATAGTCTTGAGAAAGTCATTTAACCTTGGTTTTCTTAGATGTCTAGGAAGTGCCTGGTATGCCCTCCAGTGTGTGTCTTTATACACGTAATCAAACCACAATAATTAATGAAGGTTTAAAAATCTTTTCACAATATGTGAGTATTCTACCAACCATCTCTGCCCAAGGAAACTGACAGCAGGGTGTTCCCTAATGTTCCTAGGGTAGAGATTGTCAGGATCAAGTATGGTTGCAGGTAAGAACTCAAGCATTTCATATTCCTTTGGGAGTTTCTGCACAAGCCCTTTTAAATATGGATAAGAGAGAGAGAGAGATGAGGAACTTAGAAGCCATATAGTTTGGAGTATTCTGGAGTTAGGTTGGATGCAGTACATTTTGACTTATATTCTAGAACATATTTGAAATTCAAGCCTATAAATATTCATTATGGGAAATCATTTCTTTTTTTGAAAAGTTAGAGTTGGGGCTTCATCAAAATCCCTATCTGTCTAAAAGGGGGTTCTAGGCCACCTGGGCAGCTGATAGGCGCAGATCTGCCTCTGTATCCTCAAAGGCCTTCAAAAGCAGGCACAGTGACAGGGGAAGGGGGCCCAGTGGGGCTCTTCCCACGATAGCCTGCACGTGAGCTGAGTGGGAAATTGACCATGGCGAGCCTCATGTTTCCCAGGCTTCACTCAGGACCTCACCCACTGACTTCCCCAGAAAGGGTTACGGTAAATTCTCAGGGAACCCCAACCAGAGCTGCCGTTGAACTTATTTTCTGCTGGGACCTTCATCTAACACGCAGTATTGACGTCTCTAGGGTTGGGCCTACTATTTGGTTTCTGAAAATACATTGTTAGGAATATGAACCTAGACATTAAACCTATAAAGAAGATCAAAGGAATGATTTACCCAAAGTTAATCAGAAGTCAGGGTAGTGATTACCTCTGGGATGGGGGAGATATATATTAACAATTGGGGCTGTAGGAACCACAAACAGCTTCTAAGGTGCAGGTAATGTCTTTTTTAAAAAGTGGCAATTGCCTATGCAATGAGATTTGAAGAATTCTTCTAAGCACACATACCCTGAAATTTCACTCACTAGATATCAAGACCCTCCTCCAGTTCAGTCATCAAAAGGTTTTCTCTCCAGAAGGTTACCGTTCAGTGAGGATTTGGGGACTCAGTCTCTCTAGCCTGTGAGAGTCAGTGGAGGCTACAGTGGGAGTTGGTAGCACAATGCCCTGAATGCCCTGGGTGACGAGTGCTAAGACACCAGTCAAGGCTGGGGAACAGGACAGCAGGGCTGTAAGGGAACTGGACCCCACATCCCGCCACTGCTTAGCTCTGGCTCTGCCACACACTGTGGTTGGGACTCACCTGACAGCCTTAACTCGGTGCCACCGACCATCGTTGAAGGAACCGTTCACCATGATGGATGCCACACCGCTGCCCAGATTATAGCTACAGGCGTTGGAGGAGAACAAGACAGAGAACAGAATAAAACACTAAAGCACAGGCAGATACCATTCCCAAATGATTCTCATTGCAAAAGTTCTTTGGAACTCAGAATGCAGTTTTCTTAACAGAAAACAAAACAGTGTTATAAAAGGTGGTTGGTTGTTTTCCAGGCTAGCCCATGAAGGATTAGAAATTTAAAAAAATTTGATTATGGTAAAATATGCACAACATAACCTTTGCCATCTTAACCATTTTTAGGCATACAGTTCGGTAGTGTTAGGTACACACGTTCACATTGTTGTGCAAGCAATCTCCAGAAGTCTTTTCATTATGCAAAACAAAAACTCATTGTACCCATTCCTCCCTCCCTCCAGCCCCTGACGACCATCCTTCTACTTTCTATCTCCATGGATGTGACTATTCTAGATACCTCATATAATTAGAATCATACAGTATTTGTCTCTAGCTTATCTGTGACTAGCTTATTTCACTTAGCATAATGTCATCAGGTTTGTTTTTTTTTTACGCCCCCGTGTACAGAAGCATCAGTACTATAGCATCAGAAACAACACGAAGAGCTTTATCATTCATAATGTGTTATACTGGGTTGAATAGTGTCCCTCCAAAACTCACGTCTATCCAGAACCTCAGAATGTGACTTTATTTGAAAATAGGGTCTTTGTAATTAGTTAGGATGAAGTCATACTGGAGCAGGGCAATATGAATCCTTATAAGAAGAAGAGATTTGGACACAGAGACAGAGACACCCAGAAGAGACGCCATGTGAAGCTGGAGGCAGAGATTGGAGCAAAGCATCTAGAAGCCAAAGAACACCAAGGATTGCCGGCAACCACCAGAGCCTGGAGAGAGGCGTGGAGTAGAATCTCCCTCGGGCCCCCCAGAAGGGACCAACCCTGGCAATACATGGCATTTTGGATTTCTAGCCTGCAGAACTCTGAGAGAGTGAATTTCTACTGTTTTTAGCCACTCAATTTGTGGTAATTTGTTACCAGAGCCCTAGGAAACTAATACATGTGTTTTCACTTTAAAAAAAAAAAAAAAAATTGCACAGTAGGCTGAGCCCCAGACGGATTAAGGGAATTGGCCTAAAATCACAAAGCTAACGTGTAGAACTTGAACTTGGTGTATTACCTGCGAGATCTCAACTCCCGTTTTACTCTGTTATCAGGTGCACCTAGCAGCTTTCTATTTTCTGTTTCACATCTCAGCACTGATACCTTAAGGGTATCAGAAAACACGAACACGTTGTTTACCAGAGAGAAATATCCCTCTTAATCCAGTGTTCATTCAATTATTCTAATTTAATTTAATTCAACAAATATTTAGTGAGTGACTACTCTAACCTGGGCACTGGGCCAACTGCCTAGCCCTTCCCTGGATAATATAATAAAGCCCATGTAATCATGTTTTTGAAAGGAAATATGTTCCACCTGGAACAACGCTGGCCTCATCTTATAAGAGGAGGTGTCTCTCCTTTGCCTCACTGCCCAAGATACAGGGATGTTGAGAGAAACCTGCACTAGTTGCCGAGCACTCACACACACTCATTCGCAGAGAAGAGCAGGAATAGAAAGCACTTGGCTTTCCCCAGAGAAAGCACCACGGGTCATTGGCTTAATAATGGAGGCTCAAAGAAATCACACAACCCAATGACATTTAACCAAGAATAGGACTCGGGGTGACTTGACAAACCCTGGGACAAAGCTGCCACTCTGACCCTGAAAAATCCACTGTTTTCTAATGAATTTTCCCACATCAAGAGTCTCCTTGTGTAAAACAGCCTGGAGGTGGAATTTTCAGTTTTCATTATTTGGCAGCCAAATGCTTGTTGAATGAATATGAAGCGGGCTAGCTGCTTGTTGACAGAGACTTAGCTGAATTACTAGCTATGGCTGTTCCAAGAGGCAACGTGAGATGATAGGAAAAGCGTGGACACTCAGATTCCACGGACCTGCCTTGAGCTCCAGTCTTGCCAATTTACTAGCTCTGTGACCTTGGGCAATCTGCTTTACCTTTCTGAGCCTAAATTTTCTCATCTGTCAAATGGAGATAATAATCCCTTCTCTGAAGAACCACAAGAAATGTTAAGTAAGATAACATGTGCAGAAAGCACTCTGCATAGGAGTCAAACAAACAATCCCACCACCGCAGACATATGCAGCCCTTAGGTAGCTTATATAAGGGGGTGACAATGCACCCCAAGGGACTAGTAGGAAGGAGAAAGTTGTCACCAAGAGTTAAATGCATGAAGCCGCTCCTAGAGGAGTAGCCACCTGTAAGAGTAAGCAAACAGGCTGTGAATGTGTAACCAGTGCAGTCGGGAACACCCAGCTCTCAGATTCAAGGTGACTTGGGTATAAGTGCCAGGACGCTGGACTGCAGCGTAATTGTAATCCAGCGAATGAAAACCTTTCAGTTGTGTTCGATCCTGTCTGGACAAAGGGTGGGTTCCTTATTCTGTTCTCCAGCCTAAAAACTCTCCCGTTCACGCCAAGAGCCAGAATGTGCTCTGAGGAGTCAACGCTGAATCCCGCAGGCAGGAGTGCAGCCATCACTGTGGGTGGGCAACTTGGGGGGCTTCTCCATGGCCTGACTCTCCCTTCCCCCACCCCCATGGCATCTGATTTCAGACCTTCCAAAGAAGCTCCTGCTTCCCCAAACATGCTGATACTCACCCTGGATTAACTCCCTCTTATATAATGACCAAGAACAGAGGTTACCTTCACTGGAAGAGGGATGAGGAAGCCTTTTCAGGTGGTGGAAATTTCTATATCTTGTTCTGGGTGGTGGTGATTTGGTGTTTATGTATTTTAAAATTTATCAAGCTGCACACTGAACAAGTATGCACTGCGTGTACTTATGCCTCAATATAAAAATGTAGAAACAAACAAATGAATGAATGCATGTCTGGTTTCTCTACCGATGTCTTGGGAATTGGCTACCGTGAATGGGTTGCTCTGAGCCACTCAACTTGGTGTGCTGTGAAGGCTGTGAGGCTGAGCACCAGGTGGGCCACCAGGATATGCCATCGGGGGAGGCCTTTTGGAAACCACACAGCCACCTTCATGTCTTCATGTGGTGGCACTTTTCGTCACGTCCCCTTTAAACGGTAGCACAGGGCACTTTACTAATGTCAGATCTCTTCCCTTTTTCTGTCGCATGAAAATGTTACGAGGTGAAAATTAGTGGGAAAGACTGCCAGTCAAGTGACGTTCACAAACCCACCCGGTGGTAGGTTTTATGCCCCACATATAATCACAAAACAAAATGAAGCAAACAAAAATGAAAACACAAAACAAAACAGAAAACCACATTCATTTTAGCTGAGCACTATGATTTCCTTCTTTCTGCTCAGTCTTGCACTAAAACCATGAATAAGTTTTTTTTTTTAAAGAATTCCATTGCTCTTCCCTACTCTTTGGCAGAAGGGCTTTGAACACTAAATTAGCAAAAGAACCAGCATATACGTGAAGAAAGAAAGTCAAAGAAGTTGAGAATATAATTGTATTATCTTAGGATTCCTCTTCTATTTGCGAGGTCCTGCATCAAACACTGAAACCTCAAGGATGATTTGTCTCCGCTGTAGAACGATTCCCTCTCTAGCTTCCACTGATGTGAGCTCCCCAAGGGCAGGGCCCATGACTTACTAAAAATAACAACAGCAACAATAAAAACTAAATTGCAACAATAACTAAATTTTATCTCTCTGAGGAAAAGGCTCCTAGAACTCTAAAAACACTCCATCACGGATAAAAATTTTTATTACCATAATGACTAATAACTAACTAGCTATGCCAGACCCTGCACTAAGCCCTTTGCAGGAATCAATGTATTTAATCTTGACAACCAACCCTTTCCTTTTACAGGGGAGGGGACAGAGGCTCAGAGAGTTAGGTAACTTGCATGAGGTCACATGGCCATAAGGATCAGGCATGTCTGACTCCAAAGCTACTTCAGACCCTGTTTCTCAGGGCAGGGTTCCTGGAACCTCCTGGGGTGCTTGTTTCCAATCAGACCCTGGTGCTCACACACACCCACTCCGTCAGAATCTGGAGGGGCCGGTCCAGGAATCTACCTTTGAAATGAGCTCCCTGCTGACTCACTGTATGCCGGCATTTCCCGATCACTGGCCTACGCTATAACTCCTCTCTGTCCCCAGCCACAACTCTGTGTCTTGTGAGCAGCCGTGGCGGAATAACTGCCAGACGGGGGGATACAGGGGCACCGTGACGGAGCGGCTCCAGGCCCGGGAAGGTGCAGAAGTCGCCTCTGCCTGGGTTCGGCAGTGCATCCTACACAGATGCAACTCCAACTCCAGGACTAGAACAAAAACACAGAGCCAATTTTCAGAAACCTGAGAAAGAAACAGTAACATAAAAAATATGTCCAGGACGAAGTGGAGCTGTCTGAAGGGTGCCAAGTGGGCGGGTGAGGGTCTCCAGGCTGGGCGCAGGAGCCGGCAGGAGCGGTGGCCCTGAGCAGCCCCGGCTTCCCTGTGGGGCTGGAGTGGGTGGTGAAGAGGCTGCAGCTGGTAGTTTAGCGGGGGAGTTAGGCCATCCCACCCACAGCTGAGCTACTGTTTCAGTTCCCTTTTCTGGGCATAATCAAGTACTTGAGGCCTTGGCGAGGTTAACCACAGGAAAACCACAAGAAAATGGCTTTGAGGCAGCCAGCCTGAAACGGGGTATGAGGAGCTCCGTGTTTGACCTCTAGGCCAACAAGGGGGGGCAGGCAGTGTGGGAGGGGAGATGGTGGGAAGCTGCCTCTCACCTGCCAGCCTCCAGCCTCAACCACACACATGGCTCTCCAAAGTCCTCAGCGACCATAGGATTGAATCACTTAGCATGCTCTGCTATTTAGGGGCAAGTGTGATGTTGGGCAAGTGACATTTACTCTCAAAATACATGGGAATGTATTAGAAACGCAAATTCACAGGCCCACCCCTGACCTGTTGAACCAGAAACACTCCAGGGATGGGGCCCGGCAATATGTGTGGCAGCCATGTCCCTGGTGATTCTGATGCCGGCTAAGCGTCGAGAATCCCTGCACAGTCTCTAGCCCATCTGCTCCACAGGGCAGGCATTTTGGGGGCTTTTACTTTCTTAATCCCCCCTCTGATGTCTAGCATGAGTGTTCACTAAATGACATGAAATTAATTGGAATTGAAACAAAGGAAAGATAACTGAACTAGGGAGAACTGGAAGCCAGGTCTCCTGGGGTTTAGATCTTCAGACCTTCCTGAGCTGCTGAGTGTTGTGCCGACTACTCGCTTCTCTGCTTGGTGGTACCAGAGTCTTCTTTCTACTCCTTCCATTAATAATTTGTGTTAATAGAGAGCAAACGGCAGTAACACACTAGAACAGCAGCACAGAAATGCTCTGTAAAGGGCTAAATAGCAAATGTTTTAGGCTTTGCCATACAGTTCCTTTTGAAGCTACTCAAGTGCGCCATTGTGGCATGAACACAGTCACAGGCAATATAAAAATGAAAGAGTATGACAGTATTCCAATAACACCTAATTTACAAAAATGGGAGGTGGGCCAGAGTGGGCCTGCAGGCTGTAGTTTGCTGACTGCTGCTCTAGAAGGTACATGTTGGAAAGAAAGACCAGGAGCCTCAAATAAGCCTGGAGCTTCAGGCTGTAGCCAATTCCAGCAGACTGGGTTTTGGCTTTTGAATAACTCTGCTTGGCATGATCTGCACTGTCTGAGAAAAATCCCAAGGTACTGCTAAAGGCAGCCAGAGGAGGGGTTACCTGAACACCAGGGCTCCATCCCGAAGGCCCAAGGAAATGAAGTCACTGTTGGGTCTCATGGAGCTGTCTCCCCTCCACAGCAACAGGCCATCCTTGGCAGTCGTCTTAAACCTCATGAACACATTTGATCTTGACCCTGACACCCTGGAGGAAATATACAAACAAGTAAATCAAATCAAGCACCAACATCTGTTTCCGAGTAATGCTAGTTTTGTCTGTCAGCCCCAAGCAACCAGATGTAAGGATGATCTGGTATTTCTGACACTTACTTCACCACCACGAGTCGCACCATGGGTCTAAAGGTCTGGACTGCTCACTCAGCAGCAGTGTCTCCTTCCCCAAGCACTGTGAACCCCCATGAGACAGCTGAGTCATAGATTAGCAAGACTAATGCCACCATCGCAGGCTGCAGCCCCATGCACACCTCTCTTCTATCTTTCCTGTCCTACCACTCAAGGGGCCCATCCCCCAACTGAAAGTGAGTTTCCAAATTACCAAGAGGCTCCAATCGGCAGCCTCTCTGGGCTATGACCATGGCTGTGCATGACCAGCTGTGGCAGTGACTGTCCTGGGGACAGGTCTAGACAGGTGTGACTGCACAGGAGGTGAGTGTCAGACAAGGAAGGCAGCCTGATGGGTTCATGGTCTGGAGGAGTGTTGGGGCAGAGCCAGGGTGGAGAGGAACAGGGAGCTGCAAGGAAAGGAGCGATGCTCAGGCAGGATGGGCCATGGCTGGGAATGGGTTCACACACCGACGTGTTTTTATCAATTCCTGGGAATAGACCAGTCCAGAAATCCATTCTCACTAATGTGATCAGTGTTTCATCTGAGGTAAGGAAAAGAGCAGGCGGTCCTTGAATCAAAGGTGAGAGGGGAGTAAATGTAATTTAATACTGTTACTAATACATTACTGGAAAAGTTTCTTTTTTCATCCTCCCGCCACTTGTACCATCTCTGTCTGCCCCACACACCTGCGTCTGCAGCTGTGGAATGTAGTCAGTAGGGAACAGGGAGGGGACCTGCATCCAGTCTTCGCAGCCTGACGTCGTCAGGGAGAGACCAAGTTCGCCTTCCCATGCAGGGCCTCAGAGGGGTGAGGGGGAGCGAGGTCCACTGGGCCAGGTACAGGGCAATCCGGCCCTGGCCTGTTCCCTAGAGATTTGCTTTTCCCAAACTTTTGCTCCAGGTTCCTTCCTTCTCCTGATTGCCTGGGGAATATTGATTGTATAAGCCAATCAAGAGGTTCCCATTTTTCTGGCCAGTGATTGGTTTGGGGGTGAACATGTGACCCACTTTTGTCCAATGAGATTGAGTAAATTCACCAGGAGGATTCTGGGAAAGATTCCTTCCCTTTTAAAAAGTCACATGAGAAAAAAAAGTCTTTTTTACATTCACTGGGTATCACCTGGCATTATAACTTTCTTATGAGCATCTTAGGGGCAGCTGGGAAGTGGCCCCAGAAAGTATGCTGAGGATAAGAAGGCGGAAATATGGATGAGAGTCAAGTCTTTGAGATACAGTTGCTTCTCTGAATAAATCAACCCAGGATCCAGTCTGAGTCTGGACTGCTTGCTATATAAAACCATAAATATCCTTTATGTTTAAGACATTTTAAGCTGAGCTTTCTGTTACTTGACACTAAAGGCACCTAAAGGAAATAGACTCTGAACTTGACTTTACCTGCAGCTTCACACACATGCATATGTACCTACACATGCACACACACACACACACACACACACACACACACACACACATACTACCGGAGTTGCTGTTGTTTGGGGCTCCTTGCCTCCTACTCTCACCAAGTCCCTCTACTCCCCCAAACCACCCAGTGGTCTCTAAGCACCAGAGGTTAAAGACTTGGGCTCCTTTCATGTTGTCACTGCCTTCTGGGGACTAAAGGACTTTTCATCTTTGGAGACAAAGGGCTGAAGAAGGAAGAGGAGCTCTCTTGGCTGGGAATCCTTTTCACCTAAGTCCCCACGCCAAGACAACATAGATAAAGACAACCTGGGATTAAAGAAATGAAGCAATGTCTGCCTAGTGTACATTCAGAGTTACCAGGGACATCCAAGGCCCCAGGAAAAATTCTCTCTACCACTTTTGTTCCCTGAAAAGCCACCAAACTCCACCCTGAGAGGTGAATGCCTTTAGCTTAAAGATTTGCCTTAGTGTGTTAAGATGCAGTCCACCTGAATAGGATGGAAAATTCTAGAATGAATGTGCTGGGGGCAGAAAGGGAGATGGCACGCTATAAACTACAAAGAACCAGGCGAGGGAAAAGAGAGAAGGAGCAAACCGAAAGTGCCAAAGATAGGCTTGAGGATTTTGCCAAGGGCCAGCCTCCCCCCTTGCCATGTACAAAGCTTTTCCATAGGACTCCAGCCCAGGGCTGGAGCTTCTGCCACCAGGGGTGAAAAGCCATGGCTGGGGCCTGTGCATCTCCCTGTCCTGTGCTCTTGTATTCACATAAACAGAGATGAGAAGCCCCTCGTCTCGCTGGCCAGAGCCTGCAGAGGACATGAGAGCTTTGCTGATGAAGATGCAAGGTAGATACTGACCTAGTAGGAAATGGGGTTGGATCTGTCTGGTTCTGGCAGCAGCTGAAGCCTTCCGCTGCCGACCCGGTCAACGCTAAAGACTATGGCCACAGCGTAGCCGGAAGCTAATTGACCCTGCTCAGGGAAGCGCACACATAACCCCGGCTTCGTGAAAGTCCTATTCTCGCTGCTTCTCAAAGCCCGAATACTGGAAACCCTGGGGCTGATCACCTTACTCTCCAGGATCGTTTGTAACGAAGTGTTTGAGAGGCTGATTTTTCAAAATGAGCTTGTTTTTTCTTTTGTTTTGTTCTAGTTTCTATGTGTCTGTGTGCGTGTTTTTTTTCCCCTCAAGGCTATGGCTAAGTGGTCTTCTTTGAGGATTATCTTCTGGCATTTCAGATGAGAAAAAGTCTTGGGAAAGATATTGAGAAACTGACCCCCGGAAAGACAAGGAAGGTGCCTGTGGAAGCTCATTACCTCTTGAGGATATCTGGATTGTCATACGTCAGGTAACTGCGGCCGATAAACTGCGGGATCTCAATGGCTTCTGTGATCGCTGGGACAGAACAGAAAATGGAGGTTACATGTCTCTCTTGACCCCTGCACTCACATACGTTGCAGCAAAACACCAAGAAAGCCAGCTCCTGGAAATACAACAGTTAGCAACTTGCCAGCCTCTTCCTCTCGGCCGCACACATGCTTGGCCAGACCCAGAGCCGCCCGGCCTGATGGCTGCAGCTGGCTTCTTCCCATTTTCCCCTCCCTGGGAAGCCCTGTCCCTGTCACTGGCCTCAGCACTGCTGAGAAGGCCTCACAATGTGCCGAAACTTGAACTGTTCCCAATTGTTCCTGGAAGCCAAAGAGCAGGTCTTGGGCCATGTGGAGAGCAGATGGGGATAATCCCAGATGTTCTCCAAGGGAGGCAGAGAAAACAAATCTCTAGACAAGGCACACTAGGATTCTTTATTCAAAGCTGATCTGCCCCAGGGCCCCTTCAGCTATGACCTCAAGAGACTGCAAAGCACGATGGATGAGGCCTCTTGCGTTTCTGACCACCTTCCAGTGTATTCCCCCAGACCCTCACCACACTCCCATGAAGGTGCAGGGAGCTTGGGGCAGGGGCAGGCTGCTCATTCCCACTTACAGGGAGGAACACGGGGAGGAGAAGCTAAGGATTTGTCTGAGATCATGTGGCTAAGACAGCAACAGACCATGTTCCAGACCGGCTCTCCTAAATTCTGGCTTCTGGGTGCCCTCTTTACTTTCCAATATCTTAGAAATGTACTTCCTGCCTCCCAAATTCTTATCACCTTGTTTCTGGTGATATGCTGAGGAGTCATCCTTTTACACACGGTTAGCAAAAGAATAGGTTAAGTAGCTGTGTTTGGTGTCACAAATTGGGGATGAGGTTAGGGGATTTCTGCTAGATAGAAAACAGCGATATCTCTTTCCGCTTTTGAAAGATACAGAAATGGCAGCTTAAAGAAATTAAGGTAGAATAACTCTCATGTTCAAAGAAATGCACAAACCAAGAGAGAATATGCCAGCTTGTAAGACACGTTATAGTTTTAAGAAAATATGTGGCCAATGCAAAGAAGTCACTGAACGAAGGAGTCTGCACCCAGGAGAGGAAATGTATCATTATTTGATGCTACGAGCCATAGGAAGAGTTTAAACTTAACTTGTAAACATTAAAAAAGGAGAGATAGCAGCAAACCCAATGACAATAAGCCCCCAAGTCTAAGTTCCTATGTTGGCAAGTTCCCAAACCTTTTCATAAAAAAACAAAAGAAGAAAAGGAAATAAGGGAGGAAGGAAAGAAAATAAGAACAGCAAAGGAAGAGAAACAAAAAATTAAAACATAATTTCTGAGGTAACCATCCAAGAAATTGCTTTGTGGTTCTCTGAAGCAGTACAGCCCGGGGTGAGGGCGAGCACCTGTTGGGGATGGACCCAAAGGCTCTTGCTGCACCCCGCCAGCTCCCTGACGGAGGGAGAGGAAAAAAGAGTGGGTGCAAAATGGCAAGAGGACGAGAAAGGAGCAGAGTGGGAACGTGAGTGGGAAGAGGGAGCAGAGGGAAGAGCTGCAGCAAGGAGAGGAGGAAAGCGAGTGCTGAGGAAGAGAAGGAGGAAGAGGCAGGGAAAGGAGGGAGCCGCAGGGGGGCAGCCACAGGCAAGGAGAGGACAGGAAATAGAAAGGAAGATGGGGATGCAGAGAAAGGAGAGCAGGGAACGGGCCCAGGGGAGTGGAAATGGAAATGCGGGTGGAAGGAGGAAGAAGCCAGAACCGGAGGAGGCAAGGGGAGCCGTTGGGTGAGGGGACAGCCCCTCTCTGCAGGACACCAGTGCCGAGAAGGGAGCAGGAAGAGGAGATCCAAGCTGGCTGGGAGAGGAGGCCTTCCCGGAGCTACACATGACGAGGAGCTCTGGCAGGTCTGGCTCATCCCCCGGGGAGAGGTACAGCCAGGGCCTGTCGCTGCTGTTGTTGGCAGTGGCCGTGGGCCTGTGGCCAATAGCCATCGTTCCCCTGGACTCCTTGAAAGGTTCGGGATGTGCTTGTCACACGTCAGCTCTGCACATGGAGCCCCCGGAGGGGTCTGCGTGAGCCTGAGACTGATGCCTGCTAAGTCCCCGGCGCAGGAGCTCAGGTGCTCCCCCAGGGCCAGCCACGTGTGCTCTCAGGGCCAGCCCTGGGAGCAAGGATTCCGGCCACCCGGGTGGGCATGTCCGAGCTCCCATACCGCTCACCCTGGTTCCCCCCCGACATGTGGTTGGCCTGCCCTGGCAGGCCCTGGCACAAGCCCAGAGTGCTGCCATGGTCTGTCATAGGACTTAGTGTACTTACTATTGAGGCAGTAGTTCCCACACTCTGCCCGGTGCCAGCATGAAAGAGAACAGGGAGAGTCAGACTTTCACAGTCATCGTCAAATCCCAACTCCTTCGATTGCAGATCATTTGTTTCTCTCACAAAGCCCTGCCAAGGGCCCCGAATGTCCTCTCAGGGCCTGTGAACATGAGCTCCAGGAGGAACCACCGGAAATCTGCCCTGGGCATGAGTGGCACCAAGCCACGTGCCCCCCTCCCCCAGCACGGCTTGATGAAGGTGGGGGCGGCATGAACCCAGAAGGTTTTTGTAAGTTGTCTGACACTTCCTAGGCTCCCTCACCTTCAACTGACAATCCACACTTCTTCTAAACCTGGAGTACAGCTCCTTGCCAAGGGGTTACTTACCTTGTGAATGATTATTACTTTTCTTGGCTCCAGATTACATGTGAAGAAGGGATGATAAGCCAGCCAGCTGTCTCTTTTCTCTCCCCAGTGGAAAATATCACTCCAGTTCCCACCCCATGCCCCTTTGCAAGATCCCAGAGCCCTGGTTATTTTGTGATGAACTAGGGGCAAAGGCTCCCTCTAGAAACAACACCGCAGAATACAAAGTAATAAAAATACGCTCAGTTTAAGTCAGTACATATGGACAAATATTAATCCCATCCAAAAACATCAGAGCTGGAAGTGACCATCAAGCCCTTTCTGGCTCTTTGGAGTTGGTTTAAATATTGTAAACATGATTATATTTTTACTTAGTCTTTGCTACACTCTTTTTTCTCTGTGGCAATGATTTATTAATTGAAGTGCGTTTTGGTCATTGCCTCACATTCGTACCTAAAAGCTTGTGCCATCTGACACAAAAACACCCCAGTGAATAGCAGCCTCTCAGCCAGCAGTCCTGCAGCCCAGGCAGAGCAAACTTTCCATTTGGGGCACTTGAATTCCCAAAAGACTACAAGGAGCTGACGGGACAAATGGCTCCTTCACATACCCACAGTACCTCAGCAAAGGAAAGGACCCTGTGGGTACTGAAGTCGAGCTTTTCCACCAAGTAGGACATTCTCAGCAGCACCCTTGATGGTGGCCATCCAGCCCGAGGGAACACTTTCCACCATGGGCAGCTCACTAATCTACAGGCTGGCACAGGCTATTTTGGGCCATTCTACTTGGTACAAAATTCTTTATTATGTTAAGCTGACTCTGTAGCCACAAAGTAAAAAAGCAAAAGCAAAACCAAACAAACAAACAAAACCTTTTCCTACCCTACCACCTGTTCAACTATCTAAAGACCAACATCTAGGCTAAACACTCCCACGTTTTCCAGTTTAATGATACACCTAAGAAAAGAAATTCCTCATAGTATGCAGAATTTATGTGTTCTATTAATTTGTGTTGTTATAGAGAGAGTTTTCTTAAAGTAGAGGCTCTATTTATGGAAGCTATTTTTTTTATACACTGGGACCAAAAAAAAAATAATAATAATCACCCAAATCAGACCCAGCAGTATGATGTGAATCTACTAAATACAACACAAAATATCCTAAACGTCGCATACAGTGCTAGATCGGTATTGATCAGGCAAGACTGGGTCTTTTAGGACTGCGCACCCCTGAAGAGTATGTGTCCTAAGCCTGGGCTTTGTCTCAATGGCTATGGGATCTGCAGTGCTGAGGGGCCCGTCTGCTATGGAGAAACACCGCCACCTAGTGGCTGGCGGGGTCCTGCACGGTCTGAGTCCAGGCTGTTCTCAGTAATGCAGGGAAGGGATTGGAGGACCAAAGCTCAGAAGTTCTTTCCCAAGTGACCTGTCCACTATTGGCTGGGAGAACCTGGAGAAAAGCTGTGTCCTGTATCCAGCTCTTGGACACTTAGAGCATAGCAAAGGCTCTGAGAAGTCCTGCAGAAAGGGTTATCCAAAATTTGACCACAGAACCCACCCCCCATCTTGTATATGTGAATGTATGTGTGTTTTTCTGTGTGTGTGTGTGTGTGTGTGTGTGTGTGTGTGCTCAAGGCAGCCATTAATATTCCTTACAATTTATTTTTTTATGTGCACTTTGTGAAACTCTGCCAGAACACATTAGTAACTTAGGTATACGAGCTCTGAGGGACTAGGACACAAGATCGGTCAGTTTTGATGTGAGTAGAGAAGAGAGGAAGGAAATCTCTAAGGATGGAAGTAATTATGTGAGGGGGAGGCCTCGCTGAGATGAGCGGAGGCCCTAGGCACTGGGGTAGTGCATGAGGTGCTGAGGTTTAGGGGGAAGAAGATCCCTGAAAGGGAGAGCCGGAAGGTGAGGGGACAGCCAAAGCCAAGCCTTGTGAGTTTTTGTTGGTGCCTGAAGTCAGGGCTGGGAGTTAGAAGAACCTCTGGCTCCTCCCGTCCCGGCAGATTCTCGAGGTTGGGAGACAGAGGCTCGATTTTCCGTGGCTGCTGCTACTGCGAGGAACCTGTGGCGTCCTGAGAGCGTCTCAGAAGCTCAGTGCTAGCTCGACACCCACTCTGGGCTCAGGCTCTGCTGCTCCTGCCTCCAACCTTGCAGGGAAACGCAGGGGCCCAAAACCACTAAGGTCGTCTGAGTGCCTGGAACCGCTCTGCAGCCTGTCTGAGTTTCCGGCCGCTGCCCTCCCGTGCCACCAAAAGGTGAGAACAAGTGTCAAATCTTCCCGCTTTCGCCCTTGTGGATTCTGCCTGCCACCGTCTCTGAGGAGGCCAGAGAAACCACTCACGGAGGACCTAGAAAACAAAATTCCTCACGGAGAAGGTGCCCCTTGGTATGGATTGGATGAGGCCTGGCGCTGGTTGTTTCTATGACATTTTGCTCATGTAAAAGCACTGGTTAACTAGGAACAGGTTCTAGCTTTCAAAGCATGGTTTGATTATCAGGCAGGAAAATAAAAAAATAAAAAACCTCAACTTTTAAATATATAAGGCTAAGAATCACCTTGCTGAATGAGACGAGATTTTCTCTGACAACCAAGAATGGCTTCTAACCATTCTTGGTCTTTCAAGCTAAGAATTCACCCAAACTTTCAGTGTGTTCTCTTGCTTCTCTATGGAACAATGCAATTGCCTGTCTCTCTTCCTTTGCTTTCCAATCCTAATACGGGGCTAGATGCTTTCCCCGATATTACAGCAGTCTGTATGGTAAATGCTTGCAATTCTACACCTGCTGGAGCTTGGAAACATTATCCCAGAGTCCTATTAATCCTCTCCAGTCATTATGACAGGTGAGGAAATTACGGGATACAGGCCTTACCTTATCTATGAAACTTGCTAGAAGCAGTATCTTGATTTCAAAGCACAGGAGATAGTGTCACAACATGGTGGGTGGCTGCTGGCTCATCTGGGTTTTAGTCTTGGTCCTATCTTTGCGGGAGAGGCCCAAATGCCCCCCAGTCCCCTCTGACACCGTCCATTCCCTCAGATCTCGTTAGACCTAGGCCCTCACTGGGACCTGCCCCATTGTTGAGGTGAGACATGTTTCTCATTGAACCTGAACCTATAGTTACACTTTGTATCTGTTATGGCTAATGGTCTACAGCAGGAAATAAGGACCACAAATCATCCTTTCCTTTCTCCACAGCTAAATGTTCATTTAAGTCTGGATTCTATATATTGACCATTAGCATTAGAAGGCAGGAGCAGACTAAAAGTGTCTGTGGTAACACTGGAGACTTAGGAAATTCAACAGTGATGTATAAAATTCAAGCCCAGTTTTCTGAATGAATGGGCCACTCTTAAACTAAATCTTTGCAAGTACAACCTATTAGCTGAACAATGATTTGCTTGTTAGAAGCATCATTAGGACAATTCACAGGCGGACCAGTTACTCTTCCTTGTTGAAATATATATTTCATGATTTGCCACGCAGGTGTCAAAATTCATTTAAATATAAGAAATACTACTAAGTCTTCTAATCAGTAAATGGCATCTTTGACATTTTCTAAGACTGCTGCAAACAACACCTCCCACTATTCCATATACCAGAATCTCTACCTGTAATGCATAGTTTTCCTCTAGCCCTACTTCTGTTAAGGATTGGGAACCTGGGAACGAACAGGAAAGACAAAAAGAGCACGTCCCTTCTGAGGCTCCCTGTCTTGTGTCCTTCAGGCCTGTTTGCTTATTTTTATTAGTTCCTGGGCAGGTGAGGGCACACTGACGTTGGAAACAAAAAGGTCCAAGTGGCCCAACGTGACCAAATGATGTGGGTAAGCTTATTCCGGATGCCAGGACCACAGGCTCTGCTCACCTCAGGCAGGTGCGGAAAGTGAGTCCAGCAGGGACTCGTGGTCTACAACCTGCCTGAGCTTTCAGGCGAGGGCAAGATGGAAATTGAGTAGCTCCCAGAACCTGCTATTGCATTTTATTTTTCTCAGCAATAGTAACAGTGATTAGTATGGGTTGATTGGTTGAGTACTTACCGGGCACCCTTCCAAATGCTTTATATGCATCGCCTCATTTAGTCTACACCACAACCCTCTGGGTTAGACACACAGTAATATTGTTGTTATTATTCCCATTTCACAGTTGAGAGAACTAAAGTTCAGGTGATTTGATAGCATGGAAAATGGCACTCTACAGAAGTTTATGGACACTTTAGTTTGGAGCAACTAATGCATAATTTGCATTTTTCTGCATTTGGGCAAGGTTTCTCTTTACAGACCTTTAGTTTGGGGCAACTAATGCATAATTTGTATTTTTCTGCATTTGGGCAAGGTTTCTTTGTACAGTCCTCACAGATGGGGTCAAAAGATTTAGTCAAGCTCTTTTGGCTCTCTGAGCAGGACCATGGCGATTGGCAGGAACAAGCACCTTACAAAAGGTGAAAGGTGGCAAAAAAGGTTGATCCATTTTCTAAAAAACACTGGTATGATGTGACAGCACCTGCTGTGTTCAGTATAAGAAGTACTGAAAAAACACCAGTCACCAGGACTCAAGGAACCAAGATTGTAACTGATGGCCTCAAGGGTCCTGTGTTTGAAGTGAGCCCTGCTGATCTGCGAAATGATGAAGCTGTATTTAGAAAATTCAGGAAGATTAACTGAGGATGTTCAGGGCAGAAACTGCCTGACCAACTTCCATGGCATGGACCTTACCCACCACAAAATGTGTTCCATGGTTAAACAATGGCAGACATGATTGCAGCTCATGCTGATGTCCAGACTACTGATGGTTATTACTTCATCTGTTCTGGTTGGTTTTACTAAAAAACACAACAGTCAGATATGGAAGACCTCTTATGCTCAGCACAACAGGTCCACCAACTCTGGAAGAAGATGATGGACACCATGACCATGAGGTGCAGACAAATGACCTGAAAAGACGTGGTCCATAAATTGATTCTGGACAGCATGGAAAAGACATAGAAAAGACTTGCCAGTCTATTCATCTCTTCCATGATATCTTTTTCAGGACAGTCACGATGCTGAAAGAAGCCCAGGTTTGAATTGGGAAAAATCATGGAGCTTCCTGGTGAGGGTGGTAGTTCTGCAAAAGCTACTGGGGATGAGACACGTGCTAAAATTGAATGAACTGATGGACATGAACTGCCAGACCAAGAACCTGATTAAACTTCAGATTTTTAAAAGTTCTATTTGTAAACAAATATATATATATTTATATAAAATCTGGAATGTGAGCAGATCATGAAAATTCTCTTGTCTGCATAGAGTTCAATATTCACATTTTGCCCAAACTGCAAAATCAACAACATTATCTTGTTTTTCTTATTT